CTTCCTAGGAGATCCAGCCTTTATCACATACACATGCACACACACACACACGTGCACATGCGCACACACACATATATATGGCAAAAAATAGTATAGCACACACTTTCTAAGACTTTATAAGCATGGGGAATAAGAAAGATTGATGATGTACATGGTGCCAAAGGATCAGTTGGTTGTTGTTGCTTCCTTTGTTGTAATCCTCCACCACTTTCCCCTATACCAACTTTAAACACAAAAGTCCTGGCCTAATTAAAATCAGTGCCCAGTATCTGATTAGTGTGCTTTTGGCAGACCTGGTGTTGGCATTATGTTTCTGACCAGCTTACTGATTAGTGTTTATTGCTAATCATCTGTGGCTAGAAACAAGACCCAAGGAGTAGAAAGACCATGGCAACAGCATGCAGTGTCATTGCTAGAATTATTCACAATATTTTCAGCAGGAATCACTCACCCTGAATTCACAACCAAAACAGATGCCTCAGCATGCCAAGTCCCAGGCCTTGGCACCAGCAAAGCCCTTGGCAGCCTTCTCCTTTGGTCTGCCCTGTGTGTGAAGCCCAGTGTTTGCCCATGAGTCAAGGCGGCACAGGCTGGGGAATACATTTGTTGCATCCAACAAAGAAGGTCTGATTCATATGTCTGCCCGGTTCTCCATAGAAAATCAAGAGTTTCCATGAATTAGGGCCTGGGAAGATTTGGACACACAGAGAAAGGGACTGGACAATATCTGATGATATACTAAAAGTTATAACACATTTTTGAGTAATTTAACCTCTCTGAACTCTGCTTTTCTGTTAGAGACACTTACTCACTGGTACAGCATCCCAATAAACATTTATTAACTGCCTATTATGTGCCACATCCTTAGTGTGATTATAAGGAAGGCAGCAGATGAATGATATTAAGATTCATTATCAAAACAAATGATAGAAATTTATAGACACCTGAGCTTTCTATAGTGACTTTGTAACTGATCATGTTGCTCTGTGCACTTAGCAGAAATTCACAAATATTTATTTGAATAGATAATGGTTAAATCATTATTTAGCAAATTCCTTGCCTAATTATTGCCAACTTTGCAATAGTATAGTTCTTTTGTCTGGAAATACATCTTTAAACATTTTTTTTCTCTGCTTCCAAAAATTAAGAAATTCTTATTTTTAAGTTCATTTGGAAAATAATGAAAAAAAATTAAAAATCACCTATTATGCTACCACCCCCAAGCAACTGTACTTAGTACTTGGGTGAATAAGGGAGCTCAGACTGAAAATACGGCATTATTTTCTTTTAAAATTTTTTTCTTAAAATATTATACAGTGGAACCTTGACTTATGAACTCAGTTCCTTCCCAAGGGCTGGTTGTAACTCAAGTTGGTCAATTGAAGGCTCAGGCTCCTCTACATAGCCTTCAAAGTCTCTCTCCTGTATACAGGCAGATCTCAGTGTCCTTAGAGAGACATTGGCCCAGGATTTCTCAGTGAACCCCATGCAGGAAAGGATGTTGTAATGTTCCTTCCAGAGCTCTTTAAAGGTTAAATCTGTATCTGAGACAATCTGGAAGCACAAGCAGCTGGCACATGGGTTATAAATCAAGACTTTGTTTGTAAGTTAAAACTAAAATTCCAGTCATAATCCAAATTGTTCATATGTCAGGCTGGTCATAACTTGACGGTCCGCTGTATCTGCACAGCATAATTCATATTCCTTTTCTTTAAGTAGTATTCCTATCAGTAGGATTCCTTGGGAAATGGTAGCTTCTTCCCTGGGAAAAATTTGTGTAAGTTAATTTAGCATTTTTATCAAACCAGCAAGGTGTGAAAAGATTAGAAAAAGACAGAGGATGAGATGATGGTTCTTCATTTGACATTTCCTAAGCACATTGGTTTAAAGGTTAACAAATACCTTATCATCTATGAAGAGCATTCTGCTGTCCAACAGAGTTGTAGCCGAATGATGAGAATTGTTTTTTCATATTACATAAACATATTTTATCTACTTCCTTCTATAAACCTATAATTAAGCAAGGGGATTAGGAAGTAGAGGTACAGAGATGCTTAGTGCAGGGAAAACAATGACCAAAAAGCTAGTATTAATACTCAAATTAAATATCATGGTAGAACATGCTCTGGAGGAGATACAGGTGCCCTGAGGTCATATAGCAAGGCTTGACTTATCCTGGAAAATGACAGAATTCCTCCATGACCATGTACCCTTTACATTCATGCATTTGCAAGAAGGCAGCAAGTCCATTCTGGTTCATAGTGGAGACTGTTCCAGCAATCATGTTCAGGTTAGGATTTATATTCCAGCTGTTCCACTCTACATCAGGATCATTTTTTACCTCTCTGACATTTTGGTATTCTGAATGTAAGTACGTGGTAAATCTGGAAAACAAAATGTTGCATTTGTGTGATCAATCATCTTTTCTTTTTTTTTTTTTCAGTATGCACTAAATTTATTTTCACAAAAAAAGAAATTGACTCAAGACAACATGAAAGACTTTTTGCAGACTTTATGATGGTCATCAACAAATAAAAATTATATATATTTAAGATGTGCAGAGTGATATTTTAAGTATACATTGTGAAATAATTATCATAATCAAGCTAACATATTCATCACGTCACCTAGTTACCTTTTGAGTATCTGGTGAGAGCACTTGAGAACGACTCTGAGTAAATTTAGAATTTTGAATACATTATTGACCTCAGTCACCATGCTCTAAATTCGATCTCAAGAATTACTCATAACTGAAAGTTTGTACTCTTTGACAAACTACCGGTCCCTGGTAGTACCATTCTATTCTATTAGATTGTGCAGTAATTCTGAGTCTGGCCTATTTTACTTAGCATAATATCCTCTAGGTTCATCCACATTTTCCTAAATGAAAGTGTTTTTTTCTTTTATAGGGATGAATGAAAATCCATTATCTATTACATTTCATTTAACCATTCATCTGCCCACAGACATTTAGGTTATATATCTTGTCTACAGAAATGCAAATATCTCTTCAAAATATTGATCTTAACTGTTAGGATATATACTCAGAAATTGGATTGCTGGACCTCATGACAGTTCAATTTTAATTTTTTTTTTGGTACTGGGGATCGAACTCAGGACCTTGCACTTGTGAGACAGGTGGCAGAACCACTGAGCTAAATCCCTGGCCCTCAATTTGAACTTTTGGGAAGCCTCCATATCACTTTCCCCAATTGGCACACCAATTTACATTCACATCAACGATGTACTAAGTTTCTCTTTTCTCAACAACTTTGCCAACATTTGTTATCTTTGGCTTTTTAATAACAGCCACCCTAACAGGTATGAGATGATAACTCATTGTGCTTTTGATATGCATCTCCCTGATGACTGATGATATTGAGCATTTTTCTATGTACTTATTGACCATGCCATATCTTTTTAGACAAGTGTCTATTTGGATCTTTTGGAACTGTGGAAGTTATTAATGTATTTTGGATATTAACCCCTTAACACACATGAAGTTTGCAGATGCTTCCTACCCCTTCTCAACCTCCAACAATCACATTCAAGTTCACTTTTCTTAAGCTTCCATACAAGAGAACAATTAGTACTTGTCTTTCTACATCTGCCATATTTCACATAACAAAATAACCCCAGCTCCATCCTTGCTGCAAACAACAGGGTCTCATTCTGCTTTATACCTGAATAGTGTATGTATTCCTCACTTTTTCCATTCATCAGTTGATGAGCACCTAGGTTGATTTAACATCTTAGATATTGTGGGTAGTGCTGGATAAACACAGGCACACAAATGTCCCTTTGGCGTGCTGACTGCATCTCCTTTGGATATATTCCCAGAAGTGGGATACCTGGATCACATGGTAGACCTATTTTTAGTTTTATAAGGAACCTCCATGTTGCTCTCCACAATGGCTGTACTATTCACATTCCCATCAATGCTGTATGAGTTTCCCATTCTCCACATCCTTGCTAGCATTTTTAAAAAAAATAATCATAGGTATTTTAACTAGGGTGAAATAGTATCTCATTGTAGTTTTGTTTGGTCTTTTCCTGATACTAATGAGAAAACAATGGAACTGAAAATACTATATTGTTTTGTGAAAAATACTAGATTGGTTTGTGAAAGGATATAGGGATTATATGTATCTGTGTGTGCATGCATATAGTGATCCTTAAGACCACTTTGCGCAGCTTAAGAATTATGTCATCCACTTATAAAAGTATCATTGAAGTTTTAGCACCAGCCAGGATCTGAATTGGATAAAAAACCCAGGTAATACCTGTGTTCCAGGAGGAACAAATAGAAAATAAGCTATGATCTGTCTCTGACAGGTTGGGCAGGTGGAGGCAGAAGGAGGGGTCCAGAAGGCCCAGGAGGGTGTAGCACCCACTGTCCTGGAGCCTGGGGAGGGGCGGGGCTGTGGCTGAGCCTCTTCTCCTTGCCCCTCCCCCACCCAGGAGCCCTTTGTGATGAGGAGAACACAGCTCTGTGATGCAGGCCTGGGCCCTCCTCCCTACCCCCAGAGAGAACTCTCAGTGCTCATTTGCCTGAGAGCAGCACTGTGATTCAGATAATGGAGAATCTTCTCATTCCTCTGAAAAGCCTTAGTGCCATATGGCTGTGGCCCAGCTCCGCTGCCTATGCAATGGATATGATCTTCACCATTGTGTGTGGACTGGGGCTTTTCCTTTGGTTACTGCCCTGGCTCCAGGGTGAACCAACCTTACACCCATGGACAAAAAACAGAAACATCAGAAAGGTAAGAAACACTGAGCCCAGATCCAGCAGAGAATGATTCTCCTTTTACCACAATTTCCACTTTTCTGAGTGAAGTAGACAGACTGCTGAGAGGGAAAACTCAGAAAAGAACACAATATCCTTCCTGTGGGACAGACAGGGCAGGGCAGGGGAAGTGGGCACCAGGACATTGGTCTGGTGCCTTGCGAGGACCTCTATGTGGTTTGCTAGAGGTGCCAGAGTAAAAGAGAATATGATTATTGGGTGGAACAAGAACTGGATTCCTGAAAGGTGGAGACTTTTGCGAGGGCCAGGCCCTGAGCACTGGTTCATTGTACCCATCTCATGGTGATAGAGCAATAACTATATAATAAGACAGGCCCTTGCCTTACCTCCATGTTTCCCCCCCACCCCAAATTTTTTGTTCCAAAAATGTAACAGTTGCTCCTGCCCAATGTAAGAAAATGCTCTGTAACTGTTTGAACTTTGTGACCTCAGGAATGTTCCATTAGCCCCACCCCTCAGGAATGTTCCATTAGCCCCACCCCTCTCATGAATGTTCTGTAACTCTGCCCCACCTGCTTCAGTGAACATGCTCTCCTACCTAGTAGACCCCTATATAAGGAGGCTCCTGTTTCTAGTCAAGCGCTCATACTTCGAGAATGATCTCCTCTGAGCCTGCTGGTGTAATAAAAGTTTTTCTCCACCTGTTTGAGTGACCATTGGATTCTTGAGTCTTCAAATTTTGGTAGGTGTGCCTCAGAGCTGTGGCACTTGGCTATAGCACCAAACTGTTCTGTTCTGACACATTTGGCCGACACTTCTAGGCCCAGGATTTCCTCTGTGCTGGGCTGAACCAAGGGCTATGCTGAGGGCCTGAGAGTCCAACTCAATCCCACACTGCAGCTGCCTCTGGTCTCTAGCAGCTGAGATGCAGCTGTAGAAATGGGTTCATCTTTTGAGCAGGGGATCCCCTTATGGGGGAATCTCATGTTAGAAAGTTCCTGTGTGTTTCTACAAGGACAGAAAAAAGTACTGTAATTTAAAAAGTAAGTAAAAGGAAAGAAAAAACACAGTCTCATTAATTCACTGTGGAGTAGCATAATATTCATGAATACTGAATGTCTGCAGCCTGTCTGAGAGACAGGAGAGTTGGGCCTGGGTCTCTCACTATTTTCCTTCTTTCTTAGCATCCAGTGCAAATGAAGGGGAAGAAAAGCAGAAGGAAGAGGACAGCTGCTCTCCTACGTAAGGCTACACCTTTCAGTCCTGTAGTCCTGGAACTAACATGACCTTGCTTATCCCTCAGGGACCAGTGCCAGGGCTCCAAGGATGCCAGCTCCAGAGAGGGGCTCCTGGAACTGCAATCAGCAGGGGGATCCTTCTCAGGCTCCCTGCTCAGAATGAAGCTGTGCTGGGACAAGGAAGGGTTTTGTGCAGTAGGGGCAGTGCAGGCAGCAGAGGAGCAGTACAGCCTGGGTTTGGAAGTGGAACACCCAGATCCAACTGAGGCCCAGCTGTTACAATTGGCAGAGGCTGATTCCTTTGTGAGATGACCCCATACATCCAGCACAGCACAGTTGTGGAAACCATGGATGTTGAAGGATGTGGAAGCACTTTGTACTGACAAAGCGCTGCCCATCTGTGTACCATGCAACCACTGTCCGTCAGGGCCAGAGGACATTGGACACTGATGCTTGGGCTCTGGAGTCAGACCTCCAATGGTGTCCTCTCAGGGGACATTCCCTTCAGCATCCTGTAAAATCCCAATCCCTTCCTTACCCTTCATCCTTTATAATCCAGTTTCCCACTGCCCACCTTTTTCAGACTACCAGATTTACCAGAAATTGAATAAGAAGATAATTCCCCTTCTGAAAAGGTAAAGAACTTTCCCATTTCTTCCTTCTAAGGCCTGTGATGTCACCAAGTAGCATTGCTCTAAGCTGGGAGGGGGAGATCCCGGGAGTGGGAGTGGGGGATGTTAAGACCCTGGGGCGAGGAATAGCAGGAAAAACTATAGACTTGGGGTATGGGGCAGTGGAAGGGCCAGGGCCCAACTGAGCTCACCCCAGCCCCCAGCTACAGTTACAACTCCTATTACAGCTTGCAGAGGCTGCTCCCTGGCCAAGGATGCTCTCAACATCCTGCATACCAACACTACCCTGCTGATGCAGGTACCAGAGCACCTGTCACAGCCCCACAGCCCGATGGGGAGAAAGCAGACCCTGCTGCCCTGTCCCTGGTAGAGGCGGCCCCCTCTCCTCTCACTCCACACCTTCCTCCTCTGCCCTCCTCTCCATCCGCAGGCCCATCAACAACCTCCTCCGATTTTGTGCGTTCACCCACACCCCTCACTGCTTCTCAGTCCCCAGAGCCCCTGATTCCCCTGGGAAGACTTGCACCCCAGCCACTTTCCCTTCCCCCACCATGTCCCCCCGATCGTGCCACAACCCCACCTCCCTGCTGGGACACAAACGAGAAGCCAGAACAGCAGCTCAGTCCTCAGCAACCCTCATGTCCCAAGATCCTAGGGGCCCACTTTGGGCAGAAATGGATCCAGCTTTTCTGGGGTCTGCCCTCTCTGCACAGTGAATCCATAACAGCTGCTGCCGGGATCTCTCAGAACCCTCCCATTCCACACCTTCCCACCTTCTTATTCAACAGAACCTCACATGTTTGCCCAGTTCATGTGCCAGATCAAATGTTCCCGCTGCATTCCCAGGCCCAGGATCCATCCTGTCTGGAGCCCCGATCCCCACCCCAACCCCAGCCCCCAGCTCTGGGTCAGGCCCAGACTCAGACCCACCCACAATCCTCTCCCCCGATCCTGTTAGCACCCTCCCTGCCCTTCAGTAGGGGCTGTGGAGTATCCTGTTCTACATCCCATAACCCACAGTCACTCATTGCAACTGAAACTCAACACTCAGGAAGCCCCTTGTCGAAGAAACACCTAGAACATGGACGGGCTATTCCCTCAGCAGTCCGAAGCCCTCAGGAGGGTTACTGTCCCTCCTCTCCCAACCTTTGCCAAAGCAAGGGTGCTGCTGCCATCCTTTGTGAGAGTTTTCCAATCAGCTCTGAGCTCTGGGGAAAAAAAGAGCAACACATTCAAAAGTGGCACGTTCGACACCAGCGAGACCTGCCCTGCAGGATCCAGGAGTCTCCAGAACTCACACAGCCTCAGTGTGACTTAGCTCATTCACCTCAGGTAAAGGACAAACCCGGGCTCTCACATTCGTCTGTGTCTACAGGCAAACCCAGCGAGGATGTGAAGAAGGTGAGGTTACAGCTAAGGAGAGACTCACGCAAGATTTCAGGGCATATTCTAGGCAAGGGCCCCAAAGATCTCTCCAGGGCCCTAGGAAGCTCCCCAGGGAAGGTTCTGGGGGCGACCTCTGAGGAGTCAGAGAGAAACCTGATGTGGCCCATAGACAGTGACACAAGAAATGACTCATTTGGAAGCAGAGATAAGACACGTCTAGAAGCCGTGCTGAAAGCACATTTGGATGTGAAGGTGGCGCAGATCCATGAGGGGCTGATCCCTCTGAGAGTGCGCCGGTCCTGGCTCGTTGTCAATGGTGTCGTTGCCACGTCTCACACCCACATGGGAACCAGAACTCCAGCATCCTCCAGGAGTCAGGGAACCCTTGTGAGCACTATCCAGAAGTTTTTCTCCAATCCACACACTCAGCAGGACCTGGAGATGCAGAGTACAAGGCGTAGGGTGAGGCACAGGTGGGGCCTCCCCCTCAAGCTCCTCAAGGCCGTAAATGCCTTTAAGTCTACAAAGGCTGCGCCCTCACCCTTTCCACAGTGTGCCCGTCCCTCCTCCTCTGGCAATGTGTCCTGGGCTGACTTGACAGTGGAGGATGAGGCCAAGTTCCTGGGAAAACCACCTCAGGGATGTCCGGGAGAGGAGGCGACAGTCAGGCAGTCTGTCCACACACTGGGCAGTCTCCTTGTCTCCTCTATTTCATGTAAGGAGACCAAGAGGGCCCTGGCAGGGATCCCTCTTGGTGATGGCCGGTGGTCCTCAGAGGGCCCCCTCACTAGACAGGACAGTGCGGGGCCTTCACAGCAACTCACATCCAGCCTCATGGGCAGAACCCGTGAGAGCAGGACCACCCAAAGGGTTGGCAGAGGCAGCCCAGAAGTCCCCATGGTTCCTGGAACGTGTGTCACCCAAGATGCAGGAGAGCCAGGCCTTTGGGCATACACTGGGAGCAAGTTTCAGCACGGAGAGGAAACCAAGTCAGTGAGCCATTGTCAAGTCTGTGTCACAGGTGTCCACCTTCCAGACTGTCCCACTGACACTCTCTGTGCTTCACACCGTTTGGCATCTCCAGAGTCCCAGTGGCACCATCACAGCATGCCTCTAGGGGACATGCCAGCTCCACAACTGTTTGGTGATCTAATGGCAGACAGAGGGAGCAGCCTGGGGCAGCAGAAGCCCCAGATCCAGAAACTTCAGCACTCACCGAAGAGCCAAAGCAAGACATCTGTCCCTGCTGACAAGCATGAGGTTGGTAGGAGCCCCAGCTCAGAAAAACATGAAGACAGGTTGGGAGACTTGGAGACCTCTGAGCCCATCCAGGATGGGGGAATAGAAGACACCTTAGAGAGTAAACACCTTCAGCTCCCACAAAAGAAACCAGTCCCCTCAGAAGGCTACTTCCAAAGAAGCATGAAGAAATGTCTACAGTGGGTTTTACCTAAGAAAGAAATCAAAGGGCAGGAAGACACCCAGAAAAAAGGCAAGCCTGCACCTGCCAAGGCCCAGAGTCAGAGACCAGCCAAAAACAGACCTCGTGTGGACCACAACACGGATGAGACTCAGCGGCTCATGACAGCACTTGGGCAGATGGTAGAAGCCACAATAATGCTTAAGCACGAACTTTGTGCCTTCAAGTTCAATCAGCACAAAGAAGAAGAAGGTCACGCCCCAATCTCCCAGGTTCCCTGCTCCTCAGAGCACAGGAGAAAGCCAGGACATGCAGCCACCCACAAGTGCCACAGCTGTCCTACCAGGGAGAGGCACACCCGTGCCCAAGAGTCCTTGAAAACTGGACAGCTCAACAGTGAGCAGCAGGGCCAGAGGCATCCCCACCCCTCCTTCCCCATCAAGGCTGTGTCCCCAGTCAGGCCCTCCCAGTGTGGCCCAACAGTGTCCAGGGCACCAGGCCAACAACGTTATTGCCCAAGGCATGGTCCTTTTTAGGGAGGTGTCTTCACTGGACAACAGAGAAATTTCTCTCCAGTCTTTCTTAGTAGGAAAACACATGTCCAAGAAAAATATTAGTGATGTAAAGGAAAATGATTTTTCTCATTATGCATCCAAGATATTTACTGTACCCCAAAACACTTATGTTTCCTCCTAAGAGAAATGGCTTCTGTGTGCTCTGTGCTTGGTGTGGGCTCTGGGGTCTAGAAGGGAGCAGTGTGGTGGAGGTGACAGAGGGGTGCAAGCCAACCTTCACCCTTAGTTCCTGCACTGATCGCCACTTCCACCATTACACAAACAAAATCCCTAAAAACAAGCCACGGAAAATCAATGATGACCCCCCACCCCTGGGATCGGGTCCAACCCATCTTTCCATTGCTCCCCTACATTAAGGCAGTGGTAGGACCAGAGGCACAGGGACACTTTAGGCTGAAAATTCCCCCACAGTTTCCACAAGGGTCAGAGCCATGCAGATCCACTGGTCCCAAAATGGGTGGCAGTCTGCATGTGAGGATGCTGGGCCCTGAGTTCAGAAGTGGGAGAAATCTTGCCCTTGATCTCCCGGTGGGGGACAGATGATGTCCACCCCTGGGAAGCCCCTCCTCTCCCTGGCAAAGGCCTGGACGGAGAGGGCCCTTCTGGGTTCAGTGTTGATGGAAAGTTCAGAGCTCCCATCCCAGGGCCTTGGCCCTCCTCACACTAGGGCAGCAGTGAGGACAGAAAATCCAGCTTGGGGGGTGGTCGTAGCTGGTGGTGGTCAGGGGAGCCCTGCTGATGGGTGAAGAAATGGTCCTGCTTATGGCTCATTTATCCTGGTCCATCTTGTGACTCCAGTTAGTGGTTCTGGGTGGAGGGAGCATGGCTGTGCCTGCGTGGTAAGTGATGGTCAGCCACTGGGGATGGGGACATGGGAGGAGAATTGAAAAGGCTGGAGCCAGGCAGGAAGCAGAGTGGCACAAGGACACTGTGAATGGTGCAGGGAATGGGGTGCTCCCAATGTCCTGCTGCCATCTACCAGCAGACAGGAGGTGACATTAGGGGCCAAGTGGCTCACCCTGGCCACACCACAGGGCCCTACCTGCTCCAGATCCCAGACCCAGAGAAGCCACTTTCAGCTCCCACATGGGGCCACATATGAGAGGGAGCAGAGCACGTAATCAATCAAAGATTGATTTCTTATCAATACATTGGGTACCTTGTATATATGCTCACCTCTTGCAGAAAGGATGAACTGACAATGTGGAGAAGATAGGACAAGGGAACCTGAGATGTGACCCAAAGTCTGGTGACCTGTGCATATGTATGCAGCCCCAAGGCTGTCCCTAGAGGAGAGGAGGGACTCAGAAGGGTCCAGAGCCTGCCCTGGGGTCACACAGCAAATCTTGCCTGGCTCCCAGCCCTTGCTTAGCCCAGAGCCCACAGGGGAAGAGGCAGTCACACAGGGTTTGTGCCACAAGGAGGCTGGAAGTGACCTGTCCAAATCCCTGGGGGCAGGGCCGGTCCAGGAGGAGAACTCTCAGCTTCTAGCACATGTTTCCCTTCCTGTGGGACCTGGCCCTTGTGGAAAAGTAGAGGGGCTCAAGAGGCAAGGAGAGGAGCAGCCACTTCTCCAGAGAGCGCTTCCTGTGGTGTGTGGCACACTGGGCAGCCACAGGCACAGCCCCAGGGGCCTCAATCCTAGGGCAGAGCGTCCTACAGTAAGCAAAGATTATCTAGACAAGGGGAACAGGACAGAGACCCTCCCCCAAAGAGTCCTCTTGTCGAGCACAGAGACCTCCCAGTCAGTCAGCACACAGAGACTCCCCACTCCCCAGAGACCCCAGAGATTCTTCAGGTTGTTCTCAGTCATTGCAGAAACCTCACAGAGAACCTCCAGACTGCACAGACCTCCCACAGACATGTTGCAGAGCCCTCCCACAGACACCATGCTTGCACTTTCCACAGAGCCCTAACTCAGCCCTTAGTAGAGACTCCCACAGGGCTCGAGCAGAGATGTCACATTGCTCCATAGAGCTCAAAAGCAGGAACCTCTGTCAGAGACCTCACAGGACAGTCTTCCCATTGCCCTCCGACCCCACACCTTCCACACAGCCTGCACACGGACTTCTCACAGGGCTCTGTGCCACCCCACAGAAACTCAGTACAGAGCTTTCACAACTGGCTTCCTTCAGAGACCTGACAGAGAGATCTCCCACACAGGTCAGAGCCCATACAGAGCTCTCCCACCCCACAGAGTCCTCCCATGGAGACCTCACACAGAAGCTCCCAGGAGACTCCACAGAGCACACCTGGAAACTCTGTAGTCCCCACGGAGACCTCACTTGGGGTTGTCCCCAGAAACAGGGCACAGAGACCTCACACAGACACTTCACACACCCTTTTTAGAAGCCCCAGCAGCTACTCTTTGACAGGTCCTTCCCAGGGGAGGTGGAACCACTAAGCAAACTGGCAGCATAGATGGGATTCTCATGAGTTTTGCCCCTGAGAACCTCAAGACACCCAGACATCGTCAGCATCACACTACTGCAGACAACTAAATTAGAAAATATCATAAGATAGTTGGGCAGGGCTGGGTCCTCAGCACAGAAAACAACTGAGGCACATTCACTAAAGTTTAACATTAAAAAGAAACTACTACACCCACATACTTCCCCTAGAGATGAATAGCAGGGATTGATATTCTAAACAGACATCAGTCACCTTAATTGGGGACCAAGACATCCCTAGGTAGTCCATTCCTTCCAGAATATCCATGTACTCTTGCTAGGTAACTAGCTTCCCCCTGGATCCTCAGCTAATCAATGTCACCTGGGTGACTGTGCTCGTAATCTTATTGGCTGCTCATGGTTTGTCCCACCTCATTCCTACCTTATGATATTACATTGGATCTTATAGTTTTGTCCCACTTTGTACCCACCTCACCTTGTGGCTTTGCCCCCATAAAGGAGCTTTGAGAAGTGGAGTGGGTGGGCAACTCACTTTCCAGCCCCCCTGCTATCTGTTAAACAAAAGCTATCTTTCTCTCAATAAGTTTTTCCTACTCTCAAACTCCATTGTTCCTAGAACTCATTCTTCAATTTTAGAGAACATGAAGTTGAGCCTAGCAGGTTGAGAGTTATAATATTTCCCTTATTTGGATTACTTGGTGATCTATATCAACACCAGATGGGTTTCTATGCCAGGGGAGATGCTCACAATGTGTTTCATCTTTTCTAATTCCTTTGCCTCTGAAGAAAAGAATTACAGGTTCTATGTGTAGACCTCCAAAATCCTTTCTTTCACAGGTTTTCATTAACTAGAACTCTGACCCACAATGAGAAGACCATACAGCAGGACAACTGCTTATAGCATGAGTGCAGTAAATTCTCAAGTGTTTTCTGGAGGCTGGCTTTGGTGAGACAGCATACTAGGCATAGGGGTCAATAACACAGTAACTTTACTCTCATGACAGTTACAATGCACTGCCAAAAACAGGCATGCAGACATATACCATTATTCTAGCACTCTAGAAGGTGAGGCAGGAGAATCACAAATTGGAGTCCAGCCAGGGCAATATATGAACTTAGTGAGACTCTGTCTCAAAATAAAAAAATAAAAAGACATGAGAATGTAGCTCAGTGAGAAGGTCCTGGGTTCAATCCAAAGTGCTACACATAAAAAAGAGGAAAAAACCCCCAATAACATGCTGCTAGGAAGCTCAAAAAAGGGAAGACATAAGGTTTCCCCTCAGAGAAGCCAGGAAATGCTCCATCTTACAGCTCTGCTGATCAGACACCTTACAGAGCCCTTCTGGGATAAAATCCATGAGTCAGTCAAACCATGTTCCTTTTTTTGGAGACTTTAGGGGTGAATCTCCATCTTTACTTTTCCTGCCCACTCATGGCCACTTCTATCTTCAAAATAATCACATCACTTTTCCCTCTGTTTTTTCACATCTTCTTCTCTTCTAATTTTGTGTGTGTGTGTGTCTTGCTATTTTTCCCAGGCTGGTTTTAAATTTTTGTGATTATACAGTGTGCCCACCAGGATAATTCAATATAATCCTATTTTAAAGTCAGCCGATCAGCAACACTGATTCTATCTGTAACCTTAATCTTCCTTTCCCATGTAAGGCAACATATTCACAGATTCTGGGGATCAGGACTTGGACATCTTGGATGAGTCACTCTTCTGCCTCAGAGCATGTTGAGAGTTGTTGATGTGAAGATGACTGACAGTGCTTTGGCAGGTGCTCCAGGACAGGCAGGGGCTTGGATCCATGTCTGCAGGGAGGTCAGGTGGAATTGATAGCACGTGCCTGGAGGCTCCGGGCTCAGGTGCAGGCACACTTGCTGTTCCACTGACTCACAGGAAGAGTCTGATGTGGACTTGTTTCTGGACCTGAAAAAGAGCTTGGTTAACTTCACTCCACACCTTTTGCCTCTGCATCATGTGGAGAAGGTCTCCAAAGGGTGGCTCCTCGGGGCTGTCAAGGGCCAGCAGGGCCAGTGTGTGCTCCATCTCTGTGAGGCACTCTGCTTTCCTCTCCCTGCTGTCCCAGCTGTGTCTGGGCGAACTCCAGGGCTGCCTCAGTCTCATGCTGGTGGATCAGCTCAATCAAATGCTGTTGCTCCAACTGGGATAATCTTTAGACATGCTGAATTTTGAAGCAATATGACCTCAGAATGCTTGTTCCATTGCTTCTGGCTTCCACTCCAACAATGTTTGTGCTGTCACTTTCCATGTGGGTAAATCCACAGCAGGAAGGGGTCCTCTGGACGGTAACAGGGCTCCACTGCAGAAGTGGAGGTTGGTAAGCAAAAGGAGGCCAATTCCCATCCAGTCTCTGCTTTCCACATTTTGATCAATCCTTGGTTGTCTATGGTGACAAAAAGTTGCAGCTGAGGATAAGTCACCAAATTTTTCAGAGGAACAGGCTGCCAAGGTCTGGACCAGATCTCTGTGCCCTCATGCAAATCCCAGGCATGCACAGTACAGTCTGAGGACACAGTACAAGTCACAGACTTATCCCTTCCATTGAACCAGTACTCGTTGGTTGAAATGTAGGCCAGCTGCTCTATGTATCCCAGGGAGTGCATGAACAGAGTGGGCGTAGCTACTACAGTCCCCTCCTTGTATCTCTATGTCCAGCAATTGCTTTGCAGATGAAGTCCTTCATGGGTTGCCCAAATGCCACTCGGAACTACAGCTCAGATTGGCAGAGATAGTACTGTTTACATGTTTGTGTGCCCAGGACCATCCAGGAGGCTTTGCAGAAGGACCAATGACTCAGACACAGACTCCTCCACAATTCCTTGGTCTGTGAAACTTCATTCCAGACCTTGTTCACCAGTGTGGCACACAGCAGGCCTCAGGCCTCCAGAAAGAAAAATGCGTGCAGCAGTTCATCTGGACCCAGCTGCAGAGCCATCTCACCCAACTGTTGTCCATCTCACCTCTGGTCTTCCCACTTCCATCCAGCCCCACCCAGTAATCTCGGT